GTATGAGTGATGTGATAGGCTCCTCTGACTAGTTTTTGTATGATGTAAATAGATGATGCAGAGGACGTAAAGGAGATTGGTGCAGTGTGTTTGGATTATATGTGCTTATGTTGAAACAGAGATCAGTGGCATGCCATAGAGTTTAATTAGGCCTACACAAATTGGTGAATTGGTCTACAACTGGACTGGTCTACACAAATACGGCAATTTACTTAAATGACGTCGCAGCTGGATACACTTACGGTTGTGCTGGAGATAACACGCTGACTGCTTCCCACTCACTTAGCTGAGCTGGAGGGAAAACCTCTTTTCTCGCGGTACAGCTTCCAAAGAGCCTTTCAAGTAACGGAAATGATGTGATGCGATGGGATGCTCTTGTAGAAAGTTTTGCATTCGTCAGAGGAGCCCATTAAGTAATTATCTTCTCTCCTGACATAGCAGGAGCTGGCAGGAGTAGTTCCGTCACTGGAAATGTTTTATACCCTGATCTTTGAGAAAATGTTGGTGTTTCACTCCCACGCCAGTGGGAATTATGTCAGTTAGTAACACAGTCCTTTCGGAAGGTCTTTCTGATTTAGATTAACAAAGCGTTTGACAATTTTCCTACCGCTACTGGTTCTTGTGCAGTGGGAAGCAATGGGTGAGCTGCAGTGCCAAAAGCTGTTTTATTTCTGAAGCCTCTGAAGCTTGAGTGAAGACTCAGCCTGACTGATGTTTCATCAGAGAAGCTTGAGCTCCAATTGTCAAATAGCCAAACGGAAGGGTGCACCGTGAAGTGAGAGGTTATTTACTGAGGACTACCTGTGGTCTATTAGCCAAAGAACATGTTATGAAATTTAGGCCAAATTTGTCTGGAGATACGTTATATCTTGTCAGATACTGATTGACTGAAAAACATAGATGGGCACACAAGCCCTTCAGGTTTGAAAGAGAGTCAACAAACTGAAAGCTGAGTATAGGTTAGTTCTTTGTGTGAGATTTGTCATTTTGGACGTGAAGAAGACCCTCCCTGCCCAAAAGCATGTGTTTTTTTCCAACTGTCAGCAGGTCTTGCAAAACGACTGTGTTTCTCCATGCATTTTGCCTTGCTTATGATCTCAGGGTATCATGAAAAAAGGTATTATTTATAAAGTATAAGAACTGTAGTCAAGCAAACAACAATTTAGCACATGTTCGAAATCTTTTTTTCAATGTGTAGATGTATCTTCCATACCCATCGTGCTGATTACATTGCATCACATGAGCCAAACGAAAACTACTTTCCCAGCTAGCCAAGTGCCATCAAACCCATGTGGAACCTATATGGCCCTCATAATGTATGTTGAAAGCAGTCGACAACTGTGCCTGGAATGCCTAACAATGTTCAAGTAAAACAAGAGAAAAAGCAGGATGGAAAACCTTCCTTAACTGGGAATGTTTTGGCTAGATAATGTAAAGTCGCTGCATGAGTATGAGAAGCAGGTTTAGATCACACTTTCCTGGCTTCTGGTGGTTTTTACCAAGGTTAGCATTTTAATCTATTAGGAAGATGTTGGTTTTCTTTTCTTTTTGTTTTCTTTTCTCCAGAGAGTAGTTATTGCATGAAAGGGAGAAGGGGGGGAAGGAATGACTAGATCACGGTAAGCCTTTCTAAGCATTAGATGGTAGGCTCTCCCATTGATGTCAATGGGATAGAACTGGAGATGTCGTGCCTCTGTCATCCTTATTGATCTATTGGGGAGACGCTGGGAAGGATGAAAAGGGTGGCTTTAACGGCAAGCAGTAATCAGAGATCCAGGCATTTTTTGGGGGCATTCAGCAGTGGGAAAACACCAGCCATAATACTGAAAGTGACAGTAATCCTCACTGTATTTCTAACTGTCCATTGCAAAATGGTATGTTTAATGCTTTGCTTTACTTCTAGGGACTGTAGAGAATGACTGCAGGTTGCTTTACCTGTGAATGATGTGTTGTCTTCACAAGCAACATGAATTGTTTCAGCTGGTGAATGAACTGAAAGAATAAAAGCCTCAGAGCACCAAGAGAATAATTGTTTCCTCTACCACGTTGCAACTTCAACTCTTGGTGACAGTGTATTTCCACTGCTCACTGGCTGCGGTTAACGAGGTAGAAAGGGCATTCATAGAACAGTAACGTTGTTCCAAGAACATGAAATCTTCGAGTCATCCTTGGACTCCACTTTTTGTTTCCTCCTTCACTAGCTATGTCTGCCCATTTGCCTATCAGTCTCTCCAGAACATCAGACCTTTAGGGTGATCCCATCTCTTACTCATGCTTTACTCATTTCCTAACATGGCTATTACTGCTTTTCAATTCAGTCTTCCTAAATCCCTGCTTTGAATTTGAGGTCATTTAGAGTGCAGAAGTGGATGAAAGTTAATATACCATTAATCCATAGCAAGTACATGCAAGGGTATAAAATATTCTGTGTATTCAAAGAACGCCACATCACTTCAGGTTTTATTGCATTAATTTATTATTAATAGCATCGTTAAGCAGTAAATTCGGATTTGCATACAGCAAATAGATTGCCACATTTTGTTCCAAGATTGCAAATTTGTGCCATTTTAGCAAATTTTAGCTTGGTATTCCTTTAGTGAAGCAATAGCAACACAGCTATGGCAACACACAGCTCAGTTGAGTCGGTGCCTGAGAAGGGAAGGGCTTGCAGTCGGACTCCTACTCTTGCCTGTAATTCTGTCAATCCCCAGGACGGCTCAGGTGTGTCTATATGAGTTGCAATCACAAACATAAAATGCTGCAGAGAGTGCCTTCATTGTGTGCCAAACACAAGATGCAGGGTCCGCACCTGTCCCTTCTGCTCGTGCAACTCTTAGAAGGGAGAACACTTCATATTTTTCAAGTTGCATAATCTTGATCCAAGGTACGCTATCTTACTGGAAAATGCTCTTCTATAATCCTGCATTCTCGTCATTCTCTCATTAGTAGAGAAAAACAGATGGGACCCCTCCTCCGAGCTGCACATAAAACCACAGCCTACACCACTCTCACCTTTCATGCAATGTGTGCAACAAGTATAGATGGGGAAGCTTGCCAGACGTTAGAGCCACCATCCATGATGTTGTTTAGATAAAAGGATGAAGTCCCAACACGGAAGTACTTTTCTATAGTAGCAGGCACAGCTACAGCATAAGTCATATTTAATCACTATTCCATTCACTCCCTGCGTACCTTCCAGCACCTCTACAGAGGATAAGGCGTACAGACTTGCTGTGGTCGTAAGCTCCTGTATTTCAGCCAGAAATTCCTGCTGCTGTCTTGTCAGCCACCTGTGATAGCCGTTATCTACTGTGTCAACTTATGTCAAATCCTACAATTGTGCATCTGCCATTTTAGGCTACTTTAGCACCTGAATCATTTGGTAGTAAGCATTTCTCTTCTCTACTCCATCTAGGACTCAGAGCAAAGACTAAGTGCAAGAAAAGACTATTTTCCCTGACGCCTCTTCTGACAGAGCTCTATTGGAACCTATTTATTGCTCTTTGAAAATGACACAGTTCAGGCTGAGAGTTTAAGGACGACTTGAGGTAAAGCTTTACCAAGTTTGTGTGCCCAAAGCTATACCCTCCCCTGCCTTCTCATAGCATTTATACCTTGGTCAAATGTCAAGGTATTCTTGGTTTCTCATGTCTCTTTTGCCTGAGAAAAAGAAAGCAAAGAAAGCAAAATGGCTTTAAGATTCTAACATGGGAAAACAGTATTTTCTTCATATCTTAGCAAAAGAGATGAGGTGTCAATCTCTTCACAGCCAAAATTTTGAAAAACAAAGAACTCATCCTGAGGCAAACACCTGCCTAAAGCAGTCGTTTCAAAACAACTGAAGTTTGTCACAGTTTAAAGATCCCGTTTTCAGATACTTTTACTAGAGGCAAGTGCTGAGCGGCCCCACCATAGATGACACTTATCTCTGCCTACAATCATTTCTAGGGCTTGCATACAATCTAGTGCTGTTGAACTTATGTATTGCCAGCAGCTGCTGAGAAACGTGCTGTTTACTTTGCAGCTAAAGTAACACTGTTGAGCAACCATGCAGCTAGCAAGCCATGAACATCCTGTAAATGTAATATAAAGTGGAAAATAAAAAAAATCCCAAACTAGGATGTATCCATCAACAACCTGCATTTAGGACAAAATGAAGAACTGCTGTATAAGAAATAATTTTAAAGTTTGAACAACAAATGACAAACAGGAAGAGGACTGTTTGTCTGAATGTCTTCAATGATAAAATGCTGTGAACAGGAAAGGCTTTTGCAATACAATGCCTTCAAGTCAATAGTTTTCAGATTCTCAGAAGTAAAAAATTCCTTGGGTTGTTTCACTGGTATTCCTAGTCACAGCTAAACGTAAGAGATTAATTAAGAATTAATCTGATAACTAGAACAGCTTCGGATGAATTGGAAATGTGTGAATATCATACAAACACCATCATTTATAATAAAGTCCTATACATATTAAAAACTAGAATATAATTGCTTAATATAAAAAGTTATCAGATGATTCTTTGCATATTTTGAACATGTATACACCCGACAGTCAAAAACCAAGACTCCTTAGGAATTTCCCTCCCCCCAGCCTAGGAATGGCACCTTTGAAATCCAGAAATGAGTTGCTTTGATGCTATGTTTGGAGCAGGATCCACATTTAAAGTTACAGAAATAGATTTTGCCTCTCCCCAGATCTCCTGCACAATTTAAGGCTTGTATGTGTGCACAGAAGGGTCATCATCATACAGCTCTGTACTCCTCTGAACCTGCCTGGTTTACAGCCAGGAATGTTTATTTGGCCTAAATTGGAGAAATCTGTTTTTCCTGGCTCCAGATTAGAAAAGAGTTTTGGACGAGTACTTCTGATGGTGATTTAGATATGCAGGTGTATGTGAGATAATACAAAGGTAATAACTAATAATCACTTTCTTTGTAAATGCAGGGTAATTTGGATCTATGAAACAAGTTTTTCAAACAAGAATGACAAGAGTTACATACCTTTCAGTGTGTTTTATTGCCAGCTTAGCTCATTCTGATCACACACCTTTTCAGAACAACAAAAAATACTGCTGACAGACAACTCTCACAAATGCAGTCAATATGAAGTCCTATTGATGTAAACACACCTGTCAGACACTATTAAAATAAGTTACTAGATTATTTAAAGTTTGCAAAATTATAGAATAAATGCTAGTGGCAAGTATTAATAAAGGTAATCTAATCTTTATTAAGAGTGAGGGTAATCTAATTTAGTTGTTTTCCTTAACCTTTAGAATATTGGGACATGCAACTTCCTTATCTGCAGACTCCTAAGAAGCTAACTGTTCACTTAGCTGATTTAGCAACCTTGTATTACATGCAACAACAGCAGCAGAGCCGTTAGAATCTTTTTTCACAATATTGAAAAAAGTTCGGGAATGATTTACCCGAGACCAACATCTCTAAAAATGAATACCTATGATCTTTTACTCAGAGTAGTCCAGGTTCTCAAATCCCACATCTGTGCCTTCTCAGCAGCTAGCCAGACATCACTACAATTATGGTCCCTGCCTTTATTCGTATCTTAACAATAAAAATATTGATGGAATTTGAGGAATTACAAGTTTAGAAAACAAAAGCTGAATGTAACTTAGGCCAGAGGTCATGTTTTTAGCATGCGAGTATAGCTATCACAAAATTACAGGAATTGTTCAGACAGTAAGAACTGAAAATACTTTCGTAAACATATCCTAGAGTCACAATGTTCTTTATTCTTGTAAGAGAGGTCTTATTGCTATTGCTAGATTTATCATTTTTAAGCTTTATTAAATAGGTCTATCAAACAAAAATTTAAAAGCCTTTTCAACTGCATGGTGTAAAAAAAAACTCCCCTGAAACTCAGATATACAACAGACACCCTTTCAAGAGTTACATCAGAAGTGTCAGTACTGACTTGACATTAGTAAGTATATGTCATCTGGAGTTAGTTACATTATGATCACTAATACTGTACATGATGGTCTGTTTGCAGGAGGGGGGGTGTCCACTAAGAGACAGGCTATCCAACATGCGAGAGGAGACTTGATGACACTTTCCCATCTTTTCCTGCCAGAAGTTCTTCCATGCTTGGCTGTTTGGTAGCAGGGTGTAGGGGACACTCTCCTGTTGCTACTGTACAAACAGAATGCTGAAGGCCATCACAACACAGCACACAGCCACGTAGGGGCTCTTCCGTTCACCTGAGGGGAGGGGAAAAAACCCAAAACAAACAAAAATTCAGGCATGACTAAACAGATCTAGGCTGCTCCTAGCCTAACATGGTAATTATGCCATTGCACATGCAAATTAATATTCAACATTTCTAGCCAGAGAAATGCTATTACAACTACAGTTGTGTATTGAAGAAGAACATGCATGGGGGTGGGACAACTAAGATGTAGGGTAGGCTATATTGATACATAAAGGCACAGTTGGAGCCGTTCGCTTTAAGCAAAGGTCAGTGCAAGGACTTATTTCTTTCTATAAACCATCTTTTCTGAGATGCAGTTTCCAGGAAAACATTAGGGGGGGGGAGAATATATTGCTGCTATCTCTTAGTGCCAAAGAGAGTCAGGAGGCAGGCATCGGAAAGCTGATCAAGACACCAAATCTTTTACTGGCTCTGTTCCCAGTTCTGCCTAAGGGCTATCGCTGCTCAAAAGCTGTTCCGTGTCAGCTGAGAAGAGGTGTACCTCGATGCTGTCTGGCCATGACAGCTGCTATATGAAGCATGCATCTTCTATGCATGGTATTACATAGGACCCAGCTAACTGGCTGGGGAGTTCACAGCGGCCCAGACATGGCCAGATGCCTGTCTTTTTTCTTTGCTAGAGAGACATAATATTGTTAGCATGTGGAGAGGGTCTGGTTCACAGATTTTTCAGGTTAGTGATAAAAATGGTCAACAGATTACAGATTGCACAGACACCTCTATTTCTGACCCTTTCAAATTAGTGTTACAGTTTTCCAGGGCAGACCATGGACGAAAGTTAAGTTTACTCCGTTAGCAGACTTATATTTGGTGGCAAAGGCAATTGAGAAAGATCTATTCCCACCCATTTGGTCCAGAACAAAATGTTACAGAGGTCTCTTGTTCACCAAATAAACTATGGAAAAAAAAAGAATCTTAGGTAGGGAACTGTAACACAATCAGGGGAATATTAGTAATGTTAATCAGACTACGACTTATTTACATGGACACTTCCTCCATTTAATTAGCCAGGTGTTTTTACTCCTCTATTTAAGCATTACTCTTCATGAATCCACTGACTTCTCTCTGGAGAGCAGAGTCTCCCCTACCCTGGATGGTACTTCCAGCCTACAAAACTGTCAGGAAGCATTAACACAGCAATGACTCCTTAAAGTGAGAAGATTCCTGTTTTTATGCATTCAGAAGCATAAAAACAGAGCAGGAGCTGTTTGCTCTAAACAAAAAAAGTTCAATTTCCTTTTGCTGTGCGAGCTCTCTTGTCTTACTATAAACCATCTTCTCTGAGACACAGTTTTCAGAGAAACATTAAAGAAAAAAAAATGCCAAGTCTCCCAAGTCTAGCATTAAGGTGTAATCCTCAGGAAAAAAAGTATCTTTTACCAGCAGGACCTTCAAATACAGGAGGAACAAACTTTCCACAGCAAAAGAAAAATAAAATACTTGTAGGACACCTCCCATAAGCAGGAGTGCCTGCCACAGTGACATTACAAGATGTTGTCATCATCTGGCATATATTTAATTAAACTTCAAATAACTGAATGAATTAATGTCTGCAGTTTCACATCTGTTTAAAATAAATTTTTGAGGAAGTCCACCTCCTACAGTTTAGAGTATTACAATTTTCATATGGGTTATACTTTCCTGCTCTTAATTTTCTTAAAAGAGAAATCACCATGTGGCAGGATTAAACATCATTTTGCACAACTTTGTCAGTATGTAACTACTTGCTGGTTATTAAAATCTTATGCACATGTGAAAAGGTTGTTTAAACATACTGGGCAAGTTAAATGTAAAGGAAGCCAGCAGGCATTTTCATTTTTAAAAGCCTACACTTTCTACATGCCTTTGTGACCAACACAAATAAAATGACAGGAATCATCTTCAAAGCCCATTTCCCATACTGAGGATATGGTAATGTTACGTAAGGAAACCTATAGGAGGAATGTTAAGATGCTACCTCCTCATCTGTCAGTCTAGAAGAAAGTCAAATTGGACCACTCTAGATGTAAGCTGAAAAGAAATTAGTGTTTTACATGAAAAAGAGAAAAGGAAGCAGTTCAGTATGGGGTACAAGACTGCATGCATTACCTTGGATGCAGCAAATGCAAACGTGTTAATGTTAGTACATGATGGGAAAGCAAGACTATATTCCAGATGAACTGTAGTTCTTAACTTTATCAAGTTGATAGGGACCTCATAAAACCTCATGTACTCTACTGTTTGCTGCGCATAGCTAATAGAAAAATTATGCTTGCACTTAATGAACTAAAAAGAAGACGGTAAGGTAACGTAAGGTAACGTAAGGTAAGGTAAGGTGTTCTCTTCAACCTTGAAGAAACCTTAATGCAGCTGAATTTTTACATTTCTTTTTGCTGGTATAGCTCAAAATTCATTTCTGACAGCTGCCACCTTGCCAGTATCTTTCAATTACAATACTAAAATTGGTGCTATGTCTATTATCTAAATAGGACAATATCTGCAATCATTTTAACAACAGGTCTTCACAAAAAACTGGTTTTTGCGTCAATGCTTTTTGACATACTGAAAAATGTATGTCACGTCCCTTTCAAAGCCTGAGAATGCAGAAAAGGGAACCATACATTTTTCCTTTCGGTTCAATGACAAGTAGGAAGATCTAGAATTACAAGTTCAACGTTTCTGCTCTGCATTAACAATGCAATTTGAAGAACACCGTTTTGATGATGGATTTGTAATTTTTTTAAAAATCCTGGATATGCCTTAATGCTAAGACTGAACTTCTGTTGTATATTCCCATTTCCTTCTCAAAATAAATTCAGAATAAGGATTAAAATAAATATAAATATCAATGTTATGGGAAAATGTCTAAAATCAGACAGAGCTGATCAGCCTCCATATAGATGCCACTTGACACCAACAGCTTTGTGTAATTCAGAAGTGCACAGAAGCTAATTAAAGAAAGGAGAGAAAAAAGACATTTGTGATTAAGCAGAACCTTACTGCATTATGAATTCCATGTTGTTTTATTACTCTAAGGTAAATATCTGGCTTTTGTCAGTAGTCCATTAGAATTTCAAATAGACAGCAATTTATAAGGAATCATTGATTTCTTTGTACGTTAATAGGAAGTATGCCCTTGGTTATCCCACGTAGTAAAAAGTGCAAAAGATTTCTGCAAATATAACACCACATATATGAATTGACATTTGAAAATGCAGGCTTCCACAATGCTAAGTAAAATAGTCATACCCTGCTGCCCCCCACCCCCCTGTATTTCATGGAGGCAAAATTTGCATATTTTAAGATGATGGATAAGTATGGGTTTCATTGCTACATGGAAACATTAACCTAATAAATAACACATACTCTAGAAAAAGCACTGGTCTTAAAGATTTCAAAGAAAAAAAATTACCAATCCTGGCGCATTTCCAGAATATTCCCAATAGTCTGTAAAGATAAAATAAATTCATTAGCCTCTTCGTTTAATACAATAATTTAAGTCAAGTGATTTTCTTTCTTCTAGGCTAAAACAATCCAAATAAACTGTAGTTTGTCAACTTGACGCTACTCTTGACATCGGAAAACACCAGATACCTGCATAGAGGGGTACAGGCTATGAACTAAACCAGTGGCAAAGTTCTTTCTAAGTCTAGCAAGGTTTTTTGCATGCAAGAAAAACAAAGAGGCATTGACTCAGTCTGTATTCCAAATCTAAAGATCTCACCAGAATTCTACATTCTACATTAAAGTATCCCAGACAGAAAATTATGTAAAGAAAAAAAACAGAACTAGAAAAATACTGGAGTAGGAAATACCAACAGGCCTCCATGTCATTGTGTATGGGAACCTTTTTATGGTAAGATTTTGAAGCAAGTTTTCCTGCAGGTGTGGGAGATGATAAACCTGAGTACTTTAAATTTAATGCTTTGTAGTCTCTCTTTTGTATTTCCCTTAGAGATAGCAGATAAAAATGCCTTTTCTAGCAGAGCGCACCTCATAGGTGTAATCTGATATAGAATACTTGCATTGAAATAAATAACAAAACAATTCTTCAGGTTTGTTTTTACTCTTTTACCAAGGTTTACCTTGCTCATGTCTCTCTAATACTGCTTGCCCAGGACGTTAGTTCTCACAAGTGAAATAACAAAGGAGAAAAGCAGGATTCAACTTTTCAGAGCACATCCAAAGGGATGTAGAAGCACATACACCACAAATTTGTAATTTCTCTGTGTAACTAAAATAATGTCATACTGACTGCTCATGAGGAACAAGAGCAGGGCCTGCTTTAGAAGCTAAGGAGGAAGAGGGGAAGAAATACTGAAGCATCCTGAACTAGGAGCCAGCTTTCAGCCTTTCAAATGTCGGTCAAAACTGTGTTGAAAGCTTATCTACAGGAAGGTTTCCTTCATAGTATGACTGGTTGCAATGCAGTAAAAACATCTGGATTCAACTATATTGTCTAGTTATAGATTTATGGACTAAAAAAAACTTAATTATTTTTCCTCCTTCTCCTGATATGTTTATCAGCAGTAACTTCAGTCTATATTATTTGTGGGGTTGTATCTACTACCTGCTGTGATGGCAGTTCTCCAAGCGCTTTCCCACAGTGCTCTGAACCCATACCCACAATGGTTTGATTATCTGCCTTCCCCCTTTCTTGGGCTCTAGTAATTGCCTACTTTTTTCCTGCTTAAATGCAGACAAGTAGTTTTGGACCACTTGCTGCTGCATACTTCAGTAGTCAACATATCCTGCACTTTTAAAAAAAGAATTTCTGCGCTACTTCATATTTTATGGCCTCTTTTATGCTCTTAGTTTACTTCAGCATCAATCCCTCTTCCCTTTTAGCAGCCTCCCCTTTATTTCTGAAAGGTCTGGTGTCGGCCAGCTGAGAAGCTGCGTTCCAAGCGTTCCAAGAGGCAGCAAGTGACTGTGGTTTTCAAATTCAAAGTGAAATGCTTTTTGACCGATGTACCTCTTGCTGACCAATTTTTTGCGAACAGCATTCCAGCATTTTCACTTTTAGAAAACAGGTTTTTTCATTTGTGCTTTAGATCGTTCTACCTCAAGCCAAAAGTATTTCTGTATAGTCAGAGCTCATTTTTTCTGCTTTTATATAGCTCCACAAGCAGAAGTAATAATCCCTGCATGTAGACCATCACACTCTTCCGGGCTAAAAGGTCACACAGTAAAATAACCTGAAGACATCTATGCACTTTTTGAAGATGCATGCAGGTAAAAAGGCATTCATGTGTAAAACTTATAGAGCAATATAGACAGCCCCATAGTACTGTGTGGATGGCACTTAAGACTCTTGAAACTGTTGTTACTCTCTGTAAAATTAAGATTTGCAGATGGCATGCTGCAAAACCAACACAAAAACTTCCACAGCTCAGCATCTCATGTTGCCGTCTCCAAAAACTTGCCCAGGAACTCAAAGAAATAAAACAGTACTGTCCTTTTCATATGCATATTTGAAGAATCTTACCTGGGAAAAAGAATATTAACTCCTTCAGGTAGTCTATAAATCTGTTGAATTTGCCTCACAATCTCAGCAAGGGTATTTCTTTGCCTTCTCAGTTTTTTTTTTGACCATGTGTAACAATGTGAAGTTATAACTGAAGTACTGTACATTGTTCCTAGCCCTAGAAAACCCCCTTCTTGGTGAAAATAGGAATTTTCCTTTCTGATGTGGGAGGTACAAAATAGTTAGAATATGGGTTTCATCAGCTACCCTTACTGCGGATAACAATTTATGAACTTAAAAGTCACCACTGACATGAGGACTGACAAGCCTTCCAACAGATGACAACAGTATCTTTTTAAAAGGCTTGTGCTGCTATTTGAACAGCTCAGTACATCTGTTTGTCCACAAAGCTTGCTGCTGAGCAGAAGCAAACTGAAATCTGGACCTTCTAAACAGCTATAATCACAGCCTCTGGATAAACATGAGGTGGTGGATGCCCCATCCCTGGAAACATTCCAGGTCAGGCTGGACGGGGCTCTGAGCAACCTGATCTAGTTGAAGATGTCCCTGCCCACAGGAGAGGGGTTGGACTAGATGACCTTTAGAGGTCCCTTCCAACCCAAACTATTCTAGGATTCTATGAACTGGGGAGCTCACATTGGAAGAAAAGCCTGTGCAGGCCTTCTGCTCTCCTGAATTTTTCCTTTACTGTTCATCTCAGGTCCACAACAGGCACCTCTTCAAGTCAAAACCTGTTCGACTATTACAGAAATGATGCTGCCTTGAATGAATGAATCTGCTCCAAAATAATTCCTCCTGAAGCAACTACTCAAAGTAATTGCACTGTTGCTTATTCTCCCCTTCATGTTCATCTTCATCCTTGTTTTGATGCAGGTGAAACATGTCAGTCTGGCTTGCATACCTGCTGTTCTCTGGCAGCTACAAATCAAAATGTGCAGGAGTTGCTGCATATTCCTGGCTTTCAGCGTTAATGTTAAAAGCACTGATCATGAAAGTGGTGTTGGTTATCCGGAGAACAAAAAACACAAAGAAATGGAACCCAGTAAGATGAGAAAGGGTTAGTGGGGCTTTAGACTTTGGCTGCTAGACTGGGAATGCTGCAAAATGCAGCTGCCATGTGTTTACTAGGACAACCCCACTGCCACTGCAGGAGGGAGTGTGAGAGATACCCGACTGCAATGCTTATGGCAAGTCAAAGGAAACCTCTGCTGCATATAAGCTAACACATCGTTCTGGTTAGCGGGGAGGGAAGAATTTTGTTGTGGTACGCGTTCTCCTCTAGTTAGCATGAAAGAGTAAATCTCCACTTGCTTTCCCAACCTTAAATGCTATTGCTCAGGACAAAGCACATGGAAACACTCAAGACATGTCAGGGAAAATGGACGTTTAAAATTCTGTTTGGCTTGGTAGGAAAAGACACATTTTGGCAGAAGTCAACAGGATGAAATACAGTGTTATGAGGATGGGTGACATCACTTTGCAGCACAGTCCCTCAACCAACAGAAACATGTTTCTTTACTTACTATCAACAGATTTAAATCTTCACCAAAGTTATCACTCACTTCGTCAGAAATATAGTGAGTTAACTTTCAACATTTCTCCTCTCTGTCACTTTAATATTTTATTGCTACTTTTTTATGCTATTAATCTGGAGCAGGAACAACGAGGTAAGATCATCTCTGTGGTAAAATGAAATATCACTAGAATTTATTTTATCCAGTATGTCTAGACATTTCCATTTGAGCATGGAATATGTTAGTGAAGAGGGACAGGGGTTTAACAGCATATGAGCTCCATGTAAACATCTACCACTCAGGAAACAAATTTCATTGCTTCCAGGCCAATGTTTTATTCTCCAGTACAAAGTAGTCTACATACGCATATATGAAACAAAAATAAAATAGTATGTCCAACATCTATATAAATACAAACGTACAGATCAAACGCCCAACTCCTCCACTGTGTCAGCACCCTTTGAAAACATTTTATGAAGAGAGTTCTATTGTACTCCAGACAGATTTGCCTCAAGATTAAACAGAGTAGCTCCAGATTAAAGGAAATACTCCTTGCCAAGAACAGCACTAAAATTTTAATCAGTAAAATAAATATTCTTACTTCTTACTGTGTATACCTCATTGACTATTGTGTTATCTTCCACTAGCAGACACCCAAATTCCCCTTGCCCCCCCTCCCCTCCCAGTCCTTCATGAAGTCATCTTTTCTTTCCATCTTTACTTTCATCAAATCTCTCATGTCAGTGGCAACCTCATGGCCTCATATGAAAGGACACAAGCATTTTCATGTTAGAACTCCAAATTGAAAAAAAGCTAGTGTACTCTGTCTTATCTTACACTGCTAAAAGCAAACTTGTATGATAAAATAGCAATTCCAGAGGTTAATTACAACAAAGGTTTTCAGAAGACAAACACTTAAGGTTCTCGGTGACAAGAGTCTACTTAAAACTTGACACTTTTTCTGAAAATTAAATGCAGAAGCGACAGAAGATACTTAGGGAAAACACATTTTCTTTAACAGCAAATGATCTAATGGAAAAAGTGGACAAGTCAAACACCAGTGCCCAAAAGCCTGTCTGTTTTTTCCAGCTAGAACACTACCAGCTAGAATTACCTCCTACTTCTTACTATCTCCTTTGTATTAACCTTAGGTGACATATTACTGAAATACTACGGATGGCCTCAGTGGTTTCTAGGTCAAAATCGCCCATTTGTTACTTTAAAACCACAGCATTTAAATCACAGTTCTGCATACTGGTGATTGCACCCAACATCCAGTCACGTTCCTTGTAGCACAAAGAAAACTGGTAAGCCAAAAGGTGAAAGGGTATTAACAGCCTAAGTGAGGCACAGATTTGGCTCCGTGGCTGTCCCCATTTTCCACCACCTCAAAAATTGCCCTGCTAAGCAGGGTAGAAAAGAACCGTTTTGCAGCAGTATTGGCCCCGCAACATTAATCACATTCCAGGACAACGGGGAACACAAAGGAGAAAAACAGTGGTCACCTAGCAATAAAAGTGAGAGATGAAGTTAGAGTGACCAAAGGACAAAAAAATAAAATAGGTTAGATTTTGTAGAAGCTGTCAAAAACTCTTCTGCAAATTCCTTCATCTTAGAGAATACAAAACAATGACTTAAAGAGATTGTACGTAAGGATAGTGTTGTTTATTTTAAAAAATATTTTTAATTTCAGTTACAGATTATTGCAAAAGCTGTGTTTCAAACTTGTACCTCCAAAACGCCTATCTTGAAAACAAACAAAAAGCCAGCTTCTGCTGTTAATGTTTTCTTACCCACCCTAACAATCAAAAATAAATCATTACAGCAATAGCTGCATGTAGGAAAAATGTTTTCTTTCTGTCACTCACTTCTCATCTTTAATAAGCATCTAACGAAAAAGTTGCAAATCTAGAAAATAACTAACAAGGCAGTATTAGCTGGATTTGTTAGTTAATAAATTCTTACTAAAAAATAGCCAACTAGGTGCTTGCAAATACCTTACTGCCTTCTATTGTAAGGTATAAAATGAAGATTTTTATCTTTAAAGAAGAGAGAAATTTCTCAAAATAGGATTTGTATTATCACACATCATTAGAAGGTACTAAGAGTAAAACGTTGCAGTTAAAACCAAACAGCTGGTGTATTTTTAAAATGATCAGACTACGTACCCAGTTTTATTTTTGTCCAGTAAGCTGGGAGCCAAGGATCTGATATAGGCACAGGTACATATGAGCAGCAAGATTACAGTCAGTAGACTCTGAAAGTTGAAGATGGCAGACTACGGAAGAAAATCAGAAAAGAAGAATTACATCTTTGCAGTACAAAACTTCCCTCGCTGCATAAGCTGGAGAAAATAAGTGACCGCCTAGACAATAACCATTAAAAACAAAAATGAAACGTACAATGCCAGTGAGCCAGAAACTCTTTTAACAGCCCACTGCACACAATGGTGGAAAAACAGAATTTTTCCTTCTCAACCATCCCAAGGAGGGGAAAATAAATAGCAGGCAAAATGGTAACCTTACAGTTTTGCTCCCAGGCACCTGTTCCAAAGCCAGTTTATGGAAACCCATTAGCAGCAGGCTAAGAGTTACAGAAAACAGATGTTCCCTCTCAGCCAAGAATAAGTGTAACTGTGGTTTGCATCAATAGAATACGGTGGTGGTGGTGAAGGTGGAGGTGAAGAGTATTTTGACAACTAAACCAGCGGCAGTCAAGACAGGGAATAACAAGAAATATGTAGGAGGATTGTTAATATACTGCTTTACGAAGACTACACCCAAAATTCAACAGATTTGTAGAAGCATATACAATTAAACCCACCTGAACTACGAAAAGATAACTGATTTTGTTTTCAAATCATATTTGATTTTAAATTTAAAAACATCCTTACTACAAATTTTTTAGAAGTGCTCATTATACTGAAAATGCTGGACAAATGAAGGAATCGCCGTAGGATGGAGAAGTAAAAATCTATAGCTTGATAGTCAAACTAATCTGCCTACTAGCAATAAGAAGAAACAATTCTTGAGAAACTGCTACAGCATCTGGATATTTGCTAAAGTTTAAAATATCAGTAAAATGCAGTAAGTGCATCTCACAAGCATTTTTTTTTAAACTAAAGTCTGAGTCTTGTGTGGCCAACATGTTCTTTAATCGTTAACTTATAAGCACCTATCATTGCTTACGTGAAGCAATCTTTTCCAGAAGTATAAACATTATGGGGGGAGAAAAGGTACTCGTGTAAGGACTGCTGTAACTCCATAACCAAGAACAAAATCTGGAAGAAAGATGGCTGATGCCGATTTCCAGCAAGTGCCACATCACCATTCCAATAAATAATGCACTAGCAACATTTTATTATTTTTTATCAATAGGTTCACTGGAATTTTTAGTAGAAATATTTGCTTACTAGTCCTTGTGATTTGTAGCTTCTAACAATTAGTCCCAGATCTGAGACAGATTCTTCCTACAATGTGAAAATAATCCAGCTGCATGAAGCTGCCATTTTATTGTTTTGAGGTTTTTTTTAACTTAGCATGTCTCAACTGACATTTTGGTCAACTTAACAGCACCAGGTAGTATACTAGGCAATTTCTTACTTCAAACAGCCTTATTTTCTCTTTGCTCAGCTACCCTCATTTGCAAAGCCTATTTAGTCTGAACTCCAAAAAAATGGCAAAGCAAATACAATAAATTCACTCTTTGTTCTGGAGTTCTGACGAATTTGTGTCTAAATATCCCATATTTTTTTGTACTGCTCAACCCAGAAGGCTGAGTAGTAGTATTTAATTAAGTGTAAATACTTAGCACTTATGAAGGGATATTACATTGTGGCTTCCTTCTTCAAGCAAAACTGGGTGGGATTTAAGAGCATATCAGAGCTCCCATTTCCATAGCCTGAGGCACATCTCTGTTCAACTATGTCACAAAATTCTTATGTTTTGAAGTGCCGATAATACAATTTCTCTAAATAGATAAGGAGAATTATAAAAGAAAATCACAATACTTCAGTATTGCACTAACAGCAAATTAAGAGGCAAAACCAAGAAGCTCTAGTAGAAGCAAAGCAATTGGAACATCCACGACCCTTCTGATACTGAGATCTAAAACCTTGTAACAAAAAAAAACAAAACACCTTAGCTTACATAGAAGTCTCCATGAATCATATGAAGCAATACCGGAATGTGCATACAACTGCCAGCCTGAATACATGCATCAGACAGGGCTAGATACACAAACTAATTTAAATGCCTAAGTTAATGGGGTCCAGCGGGCCACCCATGGGTGGGGAACTATCCGTTAAGAAGGAACAGCATAGAGAGGCTCAAGGAGCAACTAACAGCTCTGCCTCCACAGCCTGTACGAGAGATTTCAGCATCCTCAAGGGCATGCCCTCAAAGGCAGCATTAGCTGTCGGGGTGGATGCGCTGCTCTCCGCTTTACTTCTGCCCGAAACAGGAGCCCTCCTGCATCAGCCATCCTTCTGCAGGAGCAAAATTCCCAAGCCAGTTCCTTCATTCCTCACGCCCTTTCTATGATAATAGCCTGAGAGACAAAAAAGGGACAGGGTGAAAATGTGATTATTAGGATGCAGAGAGAAGGTAGGCAGTGGACAAAGGTAAAGAGAAAATGGCAACTACACGTAGCAGCTGACATGCAGGAAGGTTTCTGTGGTGAGTGAGAACACGGAGAGGGGACACTACATGAGTGGAGCGGTGATCCAACACCCAAAGCCAGCCCTCAGATGCACAAGGTGAGGCTACCTGCTTTTCTCCCGAGCCACAGCATTTGCTAAATCATGTTTAGTTTAGTATTTTATCTTAGCTAGCTGAGTCATCATTTCTGTTCTACCGTGTCGTAAATAATGGACAGATTATTCACAAAGGACAAAACACTGCCTATCATTACCAGTAGACTCTTGCCTTTGTACTAGGCACAGGCTTTTGCCAACTTCAGAAACCAGGAAACTCAATTCCCCCGCCGAGGCAACTCTTACGACGTACGAGAGGCAGTGTCTCCTGGCTCCTGCGGGTCTAGGAACGCGACGGGGCCGGATCCAGGAGTGGCTGACTCTCAGCAAAGCCAGATACTCCCTATCAACTGATTAATTCGATCAGTCCTCTGGGAGAGACAGCTGCTCTCGACATCGCACAGCGCAGTGCCTGCCAGAGCTCGGTTCCCATGAATTCCTGCAAGCTTTCTCCTGCAGCTGCTTCCCAAGGAGGCTGGCAGTATCGGGTACTTCAACATAAGAAAATGGCAGAAGGGTACACTTGCTTCCTCTTAAGCAGAGATTGTAAATGTATACTCATGAAATGTGTTATTAGTCAATCAGTGGGGGCAGTATATAATCGTTCTTTGTTGGGCTCTTCGTGTGTTTCTCCAGATATGCAGCGTAAGGCATCGCTGTAATTACAGATGCCATTCCACTGAAATGTGCTCTGAATTACACATTTATGTATATAGTCACTTTAAAAGGACAGACATGCATATTTTACAGTTTGTTTGCAATTTTAAACTGGAAATTGTTTCCAGTTTCCAGCCATCATTTCTGAAGTAGATGGCTTCACATTTCACATCTAAAGTAATTCTTACGGCCCAGCTGAATTTACAGAAAAGGGCGATTCACATCCAGCTGCTTGAACTGATGTAACTAAAAGCTGCTATAAGTCATACATTATTCGGAATCCTTTTAAAAAATACTGCATTCACATACCAAGCTATTCGGAAAATGTCATAATGTAGATGGGTTGCAGTTCATTTGGTTAAACTGGGGTCCTCTGATCCAAAAGTAATTAATTGGAATTTTTCAAATGTGTTGACTGGCTTAATGCAGATCCTGTGAGCCTCATTCCCATGATAAAGATATTTCAGCACATGGCGAAATTGGTGCTATCTTTTAGACTGTGTCCACGCGCCGGTGAAAAGACAAGTAACTTCCCAAGACTCAGATTGCAAATGCAGAAAAGAATCAGCACTGGTATCTTATTCTTGTTTTAGACAGTGCAAGCTGTGGCTTTAATTATATATGCTGAAATTTTCTATGTCTGCATTTGGCACATTTCTGACATGGTGGAAACAGCTTAGTAGTTACATTCTGTGTTACTTAAGTAATTACACTTTTTTCCCCCCTCCCTCTGCTGTGTGCTGTCTCCAGGTAGTTGTGGAGCACTACCACATCACCTGCAGCACTAATGAGACATTGTATTCAGCAGAACTTGCAAGAGCAAGTTTTTTTGTAAGTCTTTAGAAATTTAAGACCATGGATTTTAGCTTTGAGAGCTACATGCCCAAAGGCTCTGTTAAATCCTTCCCAAAATTAGACCTTAAAAAAATGCCTCAATATTATTTCCCTGATCATATCGTATCTTAGTAAAAATAATTCCATATAATACACCGTAAAGAATGAATACTCTTAAAAGTTTTCTTGTGTTCAGATTAGCAGTGGTGGCATGTATTAGAAATATTCATGCCAATATATGGTAGTTAGAAGACAAACATTACAGCTAGAGACATTTGAATGTATTCCCATCCGAGCCCGCATCTGAACAGTGTAGCTGTCAGCGGAGGATACTGGGGCAAAACAGGGAGTTATAAGGAAAGAAATGGTCTCCAGTTGCCTCTGGAAGATGCCATCAGTGAGTCTGCTACAACACAGGAGCAGGAGATGGTGCGACAGCTCCTTTTTCTGGGGCGAGGAGAGAGGGAAGGAGGAGCTTGTGGATGGAGTAAAAAAGGCATCTATGGAATAGTACGTTTAAAAGTTTAACATACTAAAGTATAAACTCAATTTTAATATACTTTAGTAAGTGTTGTTTTAGCGTGAAAAATTTCCTATGTGGCTGAGAAAGGGAATCCTGATGGGCCGTAACATTTGTACAGCCCCTGTCAACCTGATTACAGACAATGTTGTCACTCCTGCAATTTAGTCAGCACTAAATTTACTACACTTGGGGAGAAGAAAAAAAAAAAGAGGCAGCTCAGAGTTCTGGTTATCAACAACTCTTGCACTTCATAAGAGTATTTAATTCAATGTGCTGAAAGAAAGGGCACACTCAGATGATTGCCTAAATTTTTAGCGATCACTGGTAAATGTGTGTTCAGCCTCAGCAGACATAGCCATAATAAATGCACTGATCCTAAACTTTTTTCTACAGTGAAAATAATAACCATAGCCAAGACTCTGTACTGTATCTACCTCTGTACTTTTTATTCGTTCCATCACTCCTACATTCTCTGATTCAGATACTGATTTGTTCCATGTCTTTGTGGACA